CAGAATGGAGCCCAACCATTTCAAGCCTATTGCAGATGATCAGGAATAGGAAGACACTACAAGAAAAGAGGGCTTTTGCTTTGGCTATCTGCCAAATCAAAAGGATCGATGACGAGATAGGAGTAAAGTGATGGCAAAGAACTAGCAGAGTGAGGGAAGAGGAAGACTGAGAGAGAAGGGCGAGAGAGGGGCGTGAGAAAGGGGAATGCTTGAGATTAGGGCTTGATTAGCGGTGGATTGAAAAATTTTAATTTTTGGGCGGGATAAAAATTAATTGCTTCAGCTTTAATTGTCGATGCAAAAAATATATTTGCTTTGGCATTCGGCCGCACAAAAATCAGCCTCAAAAGCCCATTTGAATTATCATGAAAAATGTCGTTTTGTGACGAATTAACATAAAATTACTCGTTTTGAATTAAAGTTTTTGTTTCGGTTCAATTCTAAAGTAAATACTCTTATTTTTTGCTTCAGTAGATTATGCCGAAACAAAAAATATAGTATATGCTTCGGTATTTAGCTGAAGCAAGAATCCATTTTTTGCTTCAGCATTGGACCGCAGCAAATAACTCCGAAGCAACGAAGCTTTTTTCTTGTAGCGAAACTTTAATCACTTATAGTTATGAAATACTTGTTTTGATTATGACTTTTTTAGGAAGTATGCTAATTTCATGTGACATAATGTGTATCTTTTGCCACTAAATTCTGAGTTATGTCACTTAGCTAGTATATGCTTTTGAGTACTCTCATTGAAAGTCTTAGTTGGGTGATTGTGTTGTTTATGACTATAACATTTTATCATTGCATAATAAACAAAATGAGCTTTATTTGTGCATCACGTAGTTCACTACAAAGCTTAGTACATACACAATCAAGGTACTGACTTCAAACCTCTTCAAAATTGACATATTGACTTCATATATATTTTAACCTTAACGTAATTGTTGTCAATAGTCTTGTCTTTGCAATGCTGGCTGCCAGAAGCCCACAGAGATCCAGATAGACTCCATACATCTTGCTGTTTCTGGTATACACCAACAAAAAAATTTGCATTCCTTCCTTTCTCACACATTATAAAGCTGCCCCTTGCTTGGCCTTTCTGTTTCCACAACCCTAATTGCAGCTCTAACACAACAAAAGATTTCCTTGTTACACACCGCAGGCCAAGTTTCTCCTCAACTGCACCTCCATCTTCAAACACATTACTTGAACTAGACATCTTGTACAATGTTATAGAAATAATAGAATAAATAAATAAATAAAAGTTATGAAGATAATAATAGAAAAAAAAAAAAACAAGATTAATGGGAAATATCACCTCTTGGTGGCCTGCTCTTTTTCACTCGAGTGTATTCTCCCTTTCCACTTCTTCCCTCCTTACTTACTACTGGTTAAAGAATGAGGCTTATAATACAAGTTTAAGGAGCACTTTGGACATTAAGGATAAGTATTTTGGAGGAAAAATGGGTTTGACAATGCATATCGATTTTTGGGCGTTTGTATTCATTTTGTTACTTTGGATGGAAAATGTAACAGATTCACTTTGATCACAACCAATCTCCCGGGCCGGGCCGGGGGGTTGATAAGTATAATATGATACGATACAAAGGTAAGGTTTCTTTTTGTTGAGAAACTAATTATTTTGGGTTGATTATAAACTTAGAAGTTTAATTTTATGGAATTTTTGTTGAGAAATTGAGCTTGGTTTTGACTTGTATTTGATATAAATGCTTGAAAACTTTTCGAGCTAAAATATAAGTTTGACAGTTGAACTTGATCAGTTATAACACCAAGTTGAAAGTTGAGTTATCCAAGGATTATCAAATGCACTTTTTTACTAGAAAGCTTGCAACCATTAATATCAAAGAGAAGACAATTACATATGCCTCCTACAAGAAGATGAAGAAATTATATGCACACAAGCGCATATTCAAAATATTATTACCTAAGAAGAATTCCTTGAGAATTTGCAGTTTAATATGGAAAGTGTTTCACTATTATAGTCAAAATCCAAAATATTTGAATCTTTGAAGGCTAGAGGGAGAGAAAATTTTCCCACCAGCATTCAAAGTAACTTTGTTAGAAAAACAAAAAAATAAAAATAAAAAAAAAAATGCATAAAATGTTTAAATTTCATGAAAACTTGCCCCATTAAAAAAAAAAAAAACTTCCATTGAAAAATATGCAAAATATAAAGTACAATAATCTGGGTGAGTAAGGGTTACTAGACTCGCCCCAATTGCACCGACATCTATGCTGCTAATAGGTAAAAATTAGTGAAAATTAGAAGTGAGTCCTCCTAAATGTACTTGTTTGGAGATAAGTTCTGCAAGGAAATTTCTAAGGGGTTAAATCCATGTTTAAAATTATATGTAATGATTTAAGTCTATTTTTTTTTATCTCAAAAATACCCTTCTTTGAGAGGAGGTTAATCTTTTATCTCTCAAATCTATCTATATCCATATAGGGCTCGTTTGGTTGCCGTATTAAAAATGGATGGATTAGATAAAATAATTCGGTCTAATACAATACAGAAGGACAAAAGACAAGATTAAATATGATATTAGAATAATACATAATTTTATCTAGTGTTTGGTCATACACAACATAAACGTTGAATGATAATTATTTAATCCAATCGGCTGTTTGGTTAAAGAATTATTTTATCGTATTAATGTTGAATTAACAAAAATACTCTTAATCAGTGTTTGTTACATTGATGACAGTTTGATTTTATCAGTTAGAAGGTTATAATGGTAAATGTGTATAATAATACGTTTGAGTTGGATTATAATACCACCTCTTTTGGTGGTATTAAAATACCTCCATAATACATGTCTAACGTATAAAAATATACGATAAGGATACGATAAGTATACATTTTTTAAATTAATACGGTATCAAATTTACTTACCAAACAAAATATTAGGTTCGATTAAATTAAAAAAAATACAATCAAATATTTAATCCCCTCATAATACGTCTACCAAACGAGCCCATATAGGTTAAGAGTTTGACTAATATTAAAATTTTTTCTCTCTCTAATCTATCTATATCTATATATAGGTTAGGTGTATATATATATATATATAGTAACATTAAAAAAAAATAGTAACATTCAAATACAAAAAAAATTACTATGAATTTGAATAATAAAATTCAAATTTATGTTACTATTTTTTTATTATGTTATTGTTCATGTTATTGCTTTTGTTGAGTATGCTACTGTTCATATACTATTATTTTTGAGCATGTTATTGTTTTTGTTGAGCGTGTTACTATTATTATTTTCTTAAATATTAACATTCAATGTTACTATTTTTTTTTAATATTACTATTTTTTGTATTTGAATGATACTATTTTCTGCGTTTGAATTGAGAGAAATAATTATTGTTAAATATGTTACAGTTTTTGTTAAACATGTTACTATTTTTGTTGAACATATTACTGTTTTTATTTTTTTAAAATATTAATATTGAATGTTTCAATTTCTTTTATGTTTAAATGTTACTATTTTTTTGTGGTTAAATGTATTATTTTTTGTGTCCAAATGATAATTTATTTTTGTATTTGAATGTTACTATTTTGTATTTTTAATGTAACTATATATATATACACACACATATATATAACCTATATATATATAAATAAGAGAGAAAATTTTTTAATGTTAATCAAACTCTTAACCTATATATGGATATAGATGGATATGAGAGAGAAAAAATTTTAATATTAGTCAAACTTTTAAGATTTAGGAGTTTAATTTTTTAATTTTATTTCACTTCTCAAAGGAAAAGGAAAAGGAAGGGATAGCCTCAAAATCATAAGGAAAAAATGGACGTGTTTTCAAACAAGAAGAAGATACCGTGCTAGGTCTGAACCACATAGAGATAGAAGAAAAGCATGAGTCGACCACAAATTAGGGTCTAAGCAACCAAGATTACTTCTCTTATCATTTGCAGGACACAAGTGAGATGAACAAAATGGAGCAAGGCTTAGAGGCAGATATTGCGAAGAACGGGCTAAACTGACTCACAAGATAGCTATTAAGTCCAATTATGCTTTGGAGCACACAGAACCAATACATTCTATGATACTTCATGGTCACTGCATTACCGGAATATGTTCAAACAAGAATATATACTCACACACACACACACAAAAGAATAACAGATACACTTTATATCAAGGTAGCTGAAAGTCAAACTATGCTTAGTAGAACAGAACCAATATTATGTTCAATATGAGACTTCATCATCATTGCAGTATTGGATTGTTCAAAATCCTTACCCATCACGCGCACATATGTATAAAACCAATACATTCCACATATCAAAACTCGTACAGTGAGTTCTTCATGCTTTGCCCATTTGTCTCAAAGTAAAACTAAGGTCAACTCCCATCGACACAATCACTGCTCTTACCACATCACTGTACGATTTCTCCACCCAAAAAATGTACAAAAGCAGTTTTGTAAACCATAATAGGATCCGACTCCCTTCATTTTTCGAGAATCAAGAACTTGTCATTGTGAACGTTAATCGAAAATGCCAAAATAGTTGAAAAAGGTTCTGGAAGTCACCCTGGATCTAATTCTTAATGCATAAGAACCTTAATGGCAAACTATAAACTGTCAAAATTAATTATTACTTCAAGCCTTCGTTAATGCCATGAAAGGCCAAGGTTGCAAAATAAAATATTTTATCATAAATCTTCGCAAAGGTTAGTAATGATTTTGTGAAATCCCAAGCAGGAATAATTATACTACCGTGAAGGAACTGCACTGGACACATCTAACTCTGATCAGCATTCTGGTTAATGGCTCAAGCAGCATGTAAATTAGAAGTGTTATATGACGATGATCAGTATGAGAATTGCAAAGATAAATATTGCCAAAATTTGTATTTACGACCTTACAGTGGTTGCTTTCTGTACTGAGATTACTCGTCATTGACAGGAAATAGACATCGATGATTTCCCTTGTTCAATGTAGGCTGTATTTCTACTTGTATGATATAGGACCAGATCTTGACACAGCAAATCTTGGCAGTGGGCTGGGACCTCTGCTCCCTGATGTTGAGCCTTCAACAAACTTCACTTTGCGGCCTGAGCTATAGTCTAATGGACCAGACCGCCTCACGTTCCGATGTTTGATATCGATGCTTCGCATATTTCCACTGTCATTATCATATAGCTGATCATGGCTATGGGTTGATGACGCCTTAAAGTAACCCGAATCATTAATACTTGACTGAGGAGTTGAATTGCCACGAGGATGCCGTACTACGGGAGACGCGTGTGCTAGAGATACAGCAGGAGAATGGTGTGGTGATACACTTAATAATGCCAGTGGCGTGGAAGGAGAATTTGAGTAGTACTGGCTATATATTGAGCGGAGAATGGCATAGGGGATGTGGGGTTCAAGTGAGCTTCTTGGCATGTATGGCGAGATCTCACAAAACTGATCCAGGAAAATGAGCTTTGCTACAAGATGAGATCTGCAGAAAAAAAAACCAAAGAGATTAATGGTTAGCAATTCTTGAACCATGAGGACAATATCATCACTCTATTCCCATGGTCAATCGACACATCCAAATCTAGTGAACCCGATATATAAACAAATGGAGGAATGAATCCCTTCCTATTTTTGGTTAGGATTTTAGATGCAAGTTCACCTTTCATAATGGATTTACAACATGTAAAGCAAAAAACTGGAATTAGACACTGATGATGCATCACTCCTAGGATAGCTCTAAATGACCCCCTAAGCAATTAAATTACAACCTCATTTTCAGTCACCAAAACCAAGAAAGTGGACTTCAATGCCTTCTAAGTTTCTTAGATGTTTCTGCAGCCTTGTGTGTGTGTGTGTGTTTTTTTTTTTTTGGGGGGGGGGGGGGGGGGGATGCAACCACCTACGGGCGGAAGTGAGCTCTTAGCACTAGGCTGCTCCCTCACCTCAGACGTTGCTGCAATCAAAGTCAGATATGTGATGAGTTTGTCCTGAGATAGTTGCACTATGATCTCTTAATATGTGCATCTGAAATAGCTTAGTTTCTTTTAACATTGTTTACAAGTCAGCATAGTACATTGGCACAAGGAAAAGGAATAAGTTGGTGGCCAAAACTGATCAGCATCAGTAGATGATGAAGAGATTTTGTTTTCTCTTTTTTCTGATTCCATTTCCTTCTCAAACTGTTTGTCTGACAATTCCCTAGGAGAGAATACTGGCTAGGAGTACAAGTTTCTAAAACAGTAACATAAGTGAATAAAAGATGGAAAAATAAAGTCATATATATGACAATTCTATTGTGATGGTTTTCCAATTCACATCGTTTCCATATAAAGAAAGGAAAAAAGACTGGTGTACAGAGATGTGAGGAGGTAAGATAAATAGAAAATCAAGCAAGAAACTGCAGGAGCAGAGGAAGGAGCAGGTTGGGGGTGAAAGAAAACTCTCATGCAAAGAAGACTCAGAGATTTGGGAAGCTTGAAAGCGTCAAAGTAATTTGTGTTTGCCCATGTGCATACCTTAATTAGTTCCTATTCCCTAAGGAGAATAACAATAATTTATTAGCGAAACCACAGTATTACACATTTTTCAGGAATGTATAGACAAAATCAGATTATTTGAATGATGAAAAAATCTTCTGGATAATAATAATTTACCAACCTTATATTTTTTTTTTATTATCTATCATAACAATTTTGTATAGTTGACAGAAATGAAAAACATCCTTTAAACCGGGGGTGTCAAACATGTCGGATTGAGTCATTTTGTGTCGGGTTGATTTCGAATTTGTGTTGAAAATCCCAAAAACTCAAACCTGACAATGACTTGTTTAATAAATCGTGTCGAGATGTGTAAACACTAATCTGACTTGACCATTAAACGGGTTACCCAAACCTAATCTGTTTGACACGCTTAATAAACAGGTCGTTTTCGGACTAACACACATAACATGATTTATTTAACCTGTTTAATACACATAACACAGACCTATTTAACACACAAAACTTGTTTCTACACCTGTTCATTATTATTAAATACACCATTCAATCATTCATCCAAAATTTCAAATAATTTTTTCACAAATAACATACCACATCTCATCAATGAAATTAACTAAAATGCATTCAAGTTTTAACCCAAAAATTAAAGCAAGAACTATACTAGTATACTGTTATAATAATATTAAAAAACTATATTACCAATTATCATAGTAGAAACAAGAACTAATGAGTAATAATATTAAACCACATCAGTCATACATAATTGACAAACCATATTGTAATAAATAGATTAAACGGTTCTACAATTGGTTAGATCGGGTTCGTGTTCATATCATGTCAACCCGTTTAAAATATATGGGTTAATCAGGTCAAAATTGGGTTGACCTGATTTTGACATGAACTTGACATGATTTTTTTCATATTTAAGCGTGTTGACTCGTTTTAACCTATTGACTTGTTTAATTTCGTATCTAACCGTTTAATTTTGTGTTCGGTTTGTGTTGTATTAAAGTATTGTGTCTAAAATTGACAGCCCTACTTTAAACACTGCATGCTATTGGAATGTAGATATATACAATTTTGTAGAAGGTAAACAATGCTAAGAATTGCAAAGAGGGATATGGCTAAGAGCGAGATGAAAGTAATGTGAAAAAATCCTTATTATGCAGTTTGTGAATTGATTAAGAGAGAATTCAATGGTTAGATCCCTGATTGGAAAGTTTGCAGATGCAATGCCAGACTCCCTTTTTCCAGGTTCCATTGAAACTCTAAAGAACACGTAACTGTGAAATATAAATGCTTGAGAATGGATTTTTTTTTGCATAACTTTTGAGAATTTTTTCATTGTTTCGTAGTTCTTTGCAAATAATAAATGGAGCCTTGATAACTACTACACATAAGGAACCACTAAGGTGATTGGCGACTCCATATTTTCTCTAGGATAATGGAGTTCTGCTATGAAGAGGCTCAAGGTTCTATCACTGGAAAAAGGTAATTTTTGTATAAAATATGTATCATAATTTATCCCATTTTGGAGCATGAACACTGCAATAGAATGTAAACGAATGAAGCAGCCGTACACACACACGCACACATACATATATGTATTTATATCAAGACCAAGATAGTTTTGGTACACCATAAAGTGCCATTTCCAAGAATTAAATTTTGTTTCGTTTCCACCGAAACAGCCGAAATTTTTCATGAAAACCTAAACAAATCAATGATTTAATATTGAAATTCTTATGTTTCGAGATATTTTAGTTTATTTCAATGTGTTTTGGTCAATATTTAAAAAAAAAAATTCCAAGTTCTCTCTTTTTCCATTCATTTCCACAATGTTTCTATTTCCAAGGTGATTGAAACTCTGCATCGGAACGAAAGTTTAGTACTTGCATTAAGTTTGGTAAGTCAAACCAAAAATTGCCCAATTCAACTTGACTGAATGAAGTCTAGGGGTGACGTCATAAACACTTAATTTCATCAAATTCATTTGAGCTTGAATTTAGCTTGTGCAAGTGATGTAGGACTAGACTTGGAAACCGTTGAAATTTGAAAAAGTAGACTAGAGAAGAAAAGAAAGGAAAGGGGAAGAGAATGCGTAAGATATAAATATTAAACATAATCCAAGAAAATACAAGAGTACCACTCAACTACTCTATATTAACAATATACCCCAACAATCCCACTTAAGTTGGAGCACATCTCTCTCTCATACCTTGCGAACAAGACAATGAAAAAGACCTAATACTAAGGCCGTTAATAAATTCATCCATAAGTAGATCTTCAAACATCGGAAATTCCATAATCAAGCCTTTATCCAGCTCAAGTGAAGATCAATCTCAATATCTTTTGTTGTATCATGTTAAATTAGGTTATGAATATTATTGTTGGCGAACTTATTATCACAGTATAGGCTAAAAAATCCATCTCAAACTAACCCTAAATTTGTTGTTTGAGACTAAATTGACAAAGCTCACAAATCTCCCATGTGATGTCTCTATATTCTGCTTCTACATTTGATCAAGCAACAACAACCTGTGTTTTGCTTCTCTAGGTAACAAAATATCTCTCTAACAAATTATAACAACTTGAAGTAATATGTAAGTGCAGTTCAAAAAAAAAAAAGTAGTATGTAAGTGTCTACCTTCAAATATCCTTGATTAGAGACAGATATTTCTTTTTCTTGTGATAGACTTCAAATATCTCAACTAAGCCAGTTAACGGATCCAATTCAGACCGGATCTCAAACAATCGAATCCAAATCCAATAAAAAATCCAATTCCAAATCCAATCTATATATCCAACGAATATCAAAATCTTACTTAATCCATATCTGAATCTGTGTATAATCAGACATCCGGTCCAATATGACTAGTTATAGTCATCAAAGAATCAATAATCTCCCTAAATCACAGTCAAAATTTTAACAAAATTTCATCAATGAAGCTCCCAATTTCATTAATTTATATTCAATTTCATCCCCATCTTGTTAGTAATCCAACAAAAATTAAACAAAAAAAAAAATAATATACAAATCAAATCTTACATGATACGAGTTGTAAATAGAGGTTTGAGTAGATAGATATAGACATAGAACCTGAGAGAAAGAGTATTTTTTTTGGCCCATAACAGAGAAACTGGTTGAATCAACCACATACAAACTCCACCACTTTTGGCACAATCATCTTCTCTCCAAAATAAGATAGGGGACATAATCTAGAAGGAAAAAGGAAAGAGACAAAAGAAAAAGGGAGCAAGGGGAGAGCCTGAGAGGAAAGAGAAGAGAGAAGGTTGAGGTGAAAAATCAAAGTATAGAGACGAAGAAAAGAGGAGATATATATATTCACGTGTGTGAGAAGAGAAAAGAGACTGGGATCACAGGAGTTGAGTGAGAGAGAGAAAAGGTGAAGAAAAAGAGGAGGGCTTAGGAAAGGGTAGAGAGACTTTTGGGTCAGTGGGTGTCTATTAAGAGACAAAAAAGTAGGTGGGGGGAGAAATTATAGAAAAACTAAGAGAGAGAAATATAAAAATTACTTTTAATATATATATATATATATATATATATATATATATATATATATTAGTTGGATCAAATTTATATAGGATCGGATTAGAATATATCCATATTCATATCTGGTTTAACAAGTCTAAATGGATTTAGATAAACCGATTAGATTTTTAGTCCATACCGATTGAACGGATTTAGACTGAAATCCGATCTATTGACAAACTTAATCTCAATCTTCAAAAATAGCCTCTAGAACAGTAGTCCAAGTATGATGCCTAAACTGACTTCAAACTCGTTGATACACAATATCTAGGAGAGTGTGATAAAGATAGATAAGACTTTCTACTAATCTATGATATTTTCACTCTATTCGATGGATCACCTTCTTCACCTTTA